CAGCGGTGGCACTGTGCCCAATACAGCCGGGCCACCCAGCACTCAACCCCTTCGGTGTTACCAGTTTTTACTGGGATAGAGGAGCCCAGGAGGGTCCCTGCTGCCCCCTGCCCAGGCAGGGCTCTGCACCAGGGCAGTGAAGTGTCATCTTCCCACCCAGGCCCCTGCATGTCCCAGCCGCTCTGCCACCACAGGGGCAGCATGCACACACCCGTGGACATTCAGGGCCCATGCACGTGCACACACAGCCCCTGAGGAGCATGCAAGCACACGCACACAGGTGCATTTGTGCACACACCTGCAGCAAGGGCTGTGTCACTCTCTGCGCCTGCAGGGACAGGCTCAGGGCCACACACACCCGCCCATCTGAGGCAGCTCCCTGGGGCACCAACAGCTCCGTGGGCAGGAAAAGGGCACAGAGAGAAGGGGCTGCCCAGGCCTGCATGCAGCCCTGGGACACAGCCCTGCCCCCAGAGCAGCCTCAGAGCCCCGGCTGCCCCACGGACCCCGACGCAGGGCCACACGCAGCTGCTAGGGGAGCAGCCGGCCCTGAGTCACGGGCAGCGAGCGCAGCGCCCACAGCTGTCACGGGGTTGCACAAGGCGCTGCTGATGCAAGTTCCTGCTCCAGATCAGCTTGTCCAGCTGCATCTCCAGCTGCTGAGCGGGAAGGGCAGCAGGCGGGTTCCCACGCCAGCAGTGTGGGCACTGCCCCCACAGTGCGCTGGGTCCAGTCAGCACAGCAGTCTCCAGGGTGCCTGGTCTGTGCCCTGATCACCAGCCCCCAGGCAGCCAGCCTGGGTGAGTAGCCCATCTGTAGCCCTATCCTATGGCTCACAGAGGGGAGCAGTATCATGCCCCCAAGCTCCCCCTCATGGAAAAGTCCCAGCCCTGGCCCCATCCAACCCAAAGCACCAAGGTAGGAGCAGCGCTGGGACCCAGAGCAGAAACTCAGAGCCCAAACCCACCCCAGCCCCACACTGCTGCCCTGGCAGAGGCTGCCACCAGGGCCATGCCCCTCTGTGGGCACCAGCACACCCCAGTGCACAGATTCCAGCCCACATAGGGCTCCTGCTGGCTTCATGTGCCCCCGGGATAGGAAAGGAGAAGCAGTCCTTGTAATCAGGGCTTGTTTAATAACAAAACTCCAGCTATTGTAGAACAATATTCTCCAGCATCATTGTAATATACAATACAGGGAATGCTCTCAGCAATCTGAGAAGGATACGAGGCGCGGGGCCGGGAACACAGCCCCAGCAGGGCCACTTGGCCACCCGCAGCATGGCCCCTCCACAGGGCAATTACTGCTGCCTCCTCAGTGCCAGGCCACCCACGGCACTGGACCGGGCACGGGCAGAGTCCTCGACGGTCTGGAGTGGTCTCAGCGACACAGGATGCTGTCGGCAGCAGGCATGCACGGAGCCTGTGGAAAGGGCGAGGGGAAGGCGCAGGAGGCCCCAGGGGATGGGAATAGGGAGCGCCACGGGAGAGCGGAGCCGCCGGGGGCGGCTGGGCTGGAGGGGGGCACTCATCGGAGGTGGCACTGGTGCCGACCGACGGCGCGGCGCTGGGGAGCTCGGCCGGGTCACCCGGTGCGAAAGGGGGAGCGGGATTGCCCGGGAAGGGGCAGGGATCCGCACTCACCTCGGGGGGGTCTCCGGCGGGGCCGGCGCAGGGAGCGCCCGGCTGTAGCACGAGCTGCAGGTCCCAGATGTAGTCGATGACGTGCTGCAGGATCTCCACCTTGGAGACGCGCCGGTGCC